CTCCTAGAAGGGCATCTAAGCCATTTGAATAAAATCAATACCTGAGACTCATTAACATGTTGGCAAAGCAAGTTGAGCATATCCCTGTGAGGCCCCATCACTGCCATGTGCCCTGGCGCAGCCCTCACTGGGGCGTCTCTCCTGGCTGCCTTCTGTGTTGTGACTAGCCCAGGGTCAGCTGCTTTCCTCATTTCCTCAGAGCAAAGTTCAGAGACACACAGAGAAAGGTCAGCATGGTCCCAAGTCACCCTGAGCCTGCACCTTGTTTGAGGAGGTTCCACAAGAGGCTCAAGATGTGCCCCCAGGTTTACCATTGCAGGGGAGGTGGCTCAATTCCCAAGGTCAACTTGTGTTTTATTTATTTATTTACTGAAAGTGGCTGCTGCAACGTGTTCTTTTATTTTTTAAAAATCAATTTTTAAAAAAGATTTATTTATTTATACAAGAACTGAGGTATAAGTCAGAGGCGCGGGAGGGTGAGAGGATTCACCAGAGACAGAGCGGGAAGCAGAACAGGCAGACGGACCAAAATACACTGCTGAGGGGAGCAGCGGGCGAGACATGAGAGGTCTGCCGCACCATGTGGGAATCTCCCTGGCCGGCCGGGAATCGAACCCGCACTGCAGAAGCTGTGGACAGCTTCAAAGCGCAGCACTCAATCCGCTGTGTTACTGGGGAGGCCCCAAAGTGTTCTCTTCAAAACAAGGAAGATAATTTATTTAGAGCAGTATGAAGATTAGAGGCCTATTTCTCTATTATGAGATAACAAGAAAACAAGGACTGTTATCATCTCTTACTGTCAAATTATTTTAACAGAGCTGATATCAAGAGGGGAAAGAGACACAATCAAGTACCTACCCTCAGAATATAAATATTATGCTCTCAATCTGGAGTTTCTGCATGACAAAGAGAATTCTAAAGGGCAGGAATGTGTTTGTGCAAGAATATGTCACCATGAAGCATATAAAAAAAAAAAATCACGAACACTCAGGCAATAAATGGTCAAGAACTGATTCAACTGAAATCCGTTTCCTAATCATATGCAAACACAGTGACCTCTCCAAAGGTTATTTTTGAGAACATTTCCCTGGTTCATTCTTCACTAATGTGCGCTGAGCATTTTGGACCTGTTCCCAACTGAGTACACAGTGCTATAGAAAAACACTAGTTCAGTCGTCTGCTCACCAAGCATGTGAATGAGTCAATACTCAAAAACTATACGCCAGGAGCTCGGCACAGAAGTTAATGAGTATTAAAACACTAATTAAAGTTCTAACAACATGTTCTCGGAATGACAAAGCCTGTCTGCTAGCAACCACAAATTAGTTGTCAACAAGGTTAGAAAAATCTAAAAAAAATTCCCATTCCTCCCACCCTAAGACATCTTGGTAAACCCAAAGAATTATTAAATTTTCATATCTGATGTTTCACATGCATTACTGTGGGTACATCTCAGAAAACTAAAATTCCTATTAAGTACAAGGGAAGAGGAATCAAGAGAATAAAATATATACCACTCATAATTCTTACTATATTAAGTGGCTTTCATTCCATAAAATTGGGTCCTCCTTCCAATTTACTGTCTTTTATAAAATGTGGAAACCTGTCAGTGGAGTTTATTCACAGTAACTCGGCCCATTGCTCTTTTCAGGTCGATAGGTTTGTCTTTCATTGTAGGAAGAGAAAAGTCAATCTCTCAGATGGCTGAACAAAAATGAGATGCTGAGACTCCCAAAAGTACATTTTTGCTACACTCCACTCCTTTGTCATTTCATATTTAACCACAGCGCAAACACTATTCCATCCATAAAAGTGGGGTGAAAGGCTCCCCATTGCATGCAATACGTGGGTATGATTCTTCTTGAATTTACTAATTATGAAATTACATTGCCATGAAGAGTCAGAGGCTTTCTCTCAAAGAGTAGTAAAATCTTTCAGGGTTTCAGAGGGGAACTGAGAATTATGAAACACCCATCCTTCAAAACACTGCACCTCAGCGTTGCCTAGAACCCGCACCATTCCCCAGATCATGGTGATAACATCCTTGGTGGGCTGATCTTCCTGACGCGTGTGTCTCAGCGCCCCAGTCTGACGGCAAATTCCGCAGTGCCTATGTCTGAAATTTCTCTGTATTCAAAGAGTACCTGGTATCGCGTGTTACGTCATAAATATTGTTGACAGACTAATTTCAACTGCCATCTCCCGGTTACCTCATTCTGTTGATATAGATCAATTTCCTACCCCCCCGTTGTCATGAGGAATGGATAATGGCTGTACAGCAGCCTGCACCGTGTCTGTCAGCAAAACATGACACCATATCCCTCACCTTGTCCACTGGAGACGAGCTTGGCCCTGAGAGAATCCAGACCCCACAAAGAGCAGCCTCTGTGGCTTATTTAGTCCGTGTTTCATCGAACCGCCTCTTTGTCTCCCCCTGGCTTGGTCTATCTCAGCAACTGTACACCTGGTGGGTGTGACTGGCTGTGAGCACCACTAACTGTGTCAACCAAACACCTAAGCTGCACCATGGTATTTGCTTCAAAACAATAACATGCCTCATGGAATGAGAGAAAGACTGACAAATAGCCCAGGGGGAGTCTTTTTAAATCACATATGGAATAAATAGAAACACTAGGGTCAAGTGGAATCAAAAGTGGCATTACCCTATAGTACATAACTGAAAACAGAAATAGAAAATCTTTCTTCCAGAATGCTGTGATTTCTGTTACACACTGTCAGGATATTTTCCACCCATGCACAAATCCCTCTCTAGGGCCTGCTTTTACAATGGCAGGTCATCGTTGGCAACACTGCTGAGGATCTATTCAAAATGTGAGAACATCTGTCATGCCCACATTGCCTGTCAAAGCTCTGCTACACAACTTGAATCTACACCACTGCAGAATGGGTCGTAAGTGACACAATCCTGCGGTGGTGTGACATGGTAGTGCATTTCAAAGGCACCTTTGCATGATGAGAGAAATCAGCTTTAATAAGTCAGCGTGATATGTACAAGCAGATAACCAGCAGATAGAAGATCTTCCATTGGCATCATCCCAACACAGAGCTTCAGGCTACGGTGTGGAGCCAATGCCTATAGGCGCAGCTCCATTTTCTAACACACGGAAATGAGGAGCAGAGCATTAAGATCTGGAAACCAAAGTGCTTGCCAGTTACTCCCTCTTACCCTCAGAAGCCCCCCAGTGCAGAAGTACAAATAAAAGGTTATCACTCTTTGAGTAGCTCAACAACACAGAAGGTAACTTTGTGAAGTGGAGAGCCAGGCATGGAGTTCAGTGAGTTTGCCAGGGACACAGCAACCAGCATCACCCAAGCACATCTCCTCTCCAGTTTAATCTGGAAATTTCCAGCTGCTGCTAAGACTTCTATCCATACGAGCTCTTGCTCAGCTGTCTGGTTTTATCTTTTCATTTATAAGTGAAAACAGCTCATACTAAGCGGTAACTAGTTTGTGTATCACTTGTAGTACCCCTCCCTCCTCCAGACTCCAAAGGTAACTGTACACTTGGGCATGGATTGTCTATGGGAAAGTGGGAGAGACAGGACAAGGTTTGGAGCTTTTTTTTTTTTAAATACAGTGCTCAGACGCCTGCCTAGCAGAAATGAGGAGAAAACAGGGGGGGTCTAGACCAGCCAAGGCTGCACTCTTGACAACAGAAGAGGGGATGGTCCCTGGTGCGCTTCCAGGGCATCCTTGGCATGACAGACAGCACAGGCAGAAGGATGAACAACTCCCCACCCCCCTCTAGCCCTGAAAGCCCAGGGAAGGACCAGAAGTAGGCACTGAGAAGGTAAAATGTTAGAGCTGCCAAGGACACATTTTTTTATACATGGAGGAAAAGGAAAACAGCAAAGAAATGAATAGCCTAAAAATGCCTTTGAAAGTCAAATTTTAGGTCAGGATTAGAATGAACGAATGAACCATGGAAGCACAAGACACAGGCCCGCCCCCCACCAGGCATCTCTCCAGGCACTGGCTCACCTTGAAAATAAAACAAGCAGCAAGATGAGAGACAGGTTTGCCAACTCGATCTAGAACAGAGGTTAGGAAACTGCAGCCCTAGGCCCAATCCAGACCCTCCCTGTTTTTCATAGACAAAGGATTTCTTTATGATCTAAATTAATAGATCTACATCTAGCCTATCCTCTAGACTATTTCTAGACAGATGAAGGGTAACAGAGCAAGCTAAAATAATGCCCTCATTTTACAGACACATTCTTGAGAGCATCCAGTGCTCTTTGCTCCAAGTTTCCTTCACAAACAACACTGATTCCTAATCTGCCAACTGTAGTTCAGTCCGCCAGGTGGGAGGGCCCCAATAAACACTAGAGGTGCTTATCTGCTAGGTGACCTCTTATCTCAAAAGGACAGACAGACATTCTGCGTCATCAATCAATAAGTGCTTCTGTTTCTGGGAGACCTTTGGGGAGCAAAAAACCAAAACCAGAGACTCAACATGAAAGGATGGTGAACAGAGACTGAGCCCCTAGTGCCAGGACAGGCAATTGGTTCATTCACCCTAACATTTTATGGCATTCTCACTCTGCCAGGCAGAAATACATATGGACTTTAGATAGAAAAGCCTGATTCACAGCACTTGAGTAAATACTTTGTGTAGAACAAACCTATGTTGCTATGGATGACACCACAGGACCTGAGCAAGAACACAACCCACTTTCAGGCCCGCACATGGCATGCACCAGCTGTGCTGCTCTAACAGTCACTGTAGACAGAACCCCACACAAGGACTCTGGCTTTGTCAGGGGCAGCAGCTACAGGCGCAGAACCAGCAAGCTCCAGGTGGGCGGGCAGGGACTGTGCTTGGCCCAGGGCCAGAAAGACCAGGAGCTCTCAAAACATCTGTCATCTGGGTTACATGAAGGTTATGGGTTACCTTCATAGCTTCTGCTAAGCCGGGGTATGAGAGGCCCGGTCTGAAAGTCAGGGTTTCTACGTTGTCAAGTTCAGTGCTCCTTACCTGGACTGTCTGGTAATCGGAAGCATCAATTCCTTTCACAGTCACCTCTCGGAAGACTCTTGGCTCCAGTTCCTCTTTGGTAAGATCACAGTGATAAATGATACCTGGAAAGGGATGGAAGCTTTAGTTTAGTCCATAAGATTCATTAGCTATGCAAGGGGCACGACTCATGTGAATAGCAAGGAGGAGGCTCGGTCAGGGACCCAGGTGACACCACGGCTGTGTACACCGCACTGTGGGAAAAGCCCGTACAACAGGTGGGTGCTGGTGTGCTACAAAGTGTTCACTCTTCACCATCACATGTGGCCTCCCTTTTCACAGGTGGATGCTACGGATACATCTGAGGAGATTTTAATGCATTATGGAGTATGAGAGGAGGTTAAAAAACCTAATTGTGGAAACTCTTAATTCTGAGATTACAGGTCCTAATTCTGCGTAATAATACTGTATTGCATATTGCATAGATGCTCAGACAATAGATCTTAAAAGTTCTTGTCACACACATGGAAATAACCATACATGGTAACGGACAGTAACTAGACTTACTGTAATCATTTCACCAAATACACAATCATCAAATTGCTATAGTTATACACTTGAAACCATTATGTCAGATATCAACTGTACTTAGGAAAAAAAAGGGTGCAGGTCAAAGAGGCAGGGAAGTATCACATAGGGCTGTTTCACCTCAGAGGTGATTAACTGGCAAATTCAAGCAAATTGCCCAAAATCAAGAGCCAGTCAGGGGTGCTGTGGGGCTCCTGCTACCTGACACCATCCAGATGTGGTCACACAAGTGGACAGCCAGCGGGGATCAGAGGTGATCAAGTAGCCATTTTAGAATTGGTATAGATCTAGTGTATCAAGAATTCTCAAGACCTGGGAGTATAACTACAGAATTGGTACAGATATCTCCCACTTTTCAAAAGTTTGCTTTATGCCATTTTACTTTTATGAGAGAACTAGATTATTACCTATTTTTGCTAATTGAAAGAAACCAAAGAGAATTTTCACTTTTACTAAAAGAGAAAAAAAAAAAAGGCATCTGTTCTAGAGGCAGGTGCACCTGAGCAGGAAGAGCCTGGCCCAGGCCTGGCTGGGACGGCGTGGACCAGGCTGTGGATCTGTCCTGACTTCCTGCTGTGACTGTATGTTGCTCTATCTTAGATTTTAGGTGTTATTTGATACAATTGGGTGGTTATTTTTTGGGGTGTGAGAATGCTCAAAAATGTTTCCATGTAAAGTAACATGAAAGCACTTTTTGCCTTGTGCCATTTTGGTTGAAGTTTTACAGGAATGCTCGGCTTTTGGAGTGGGGAAACATGCAATCGCACACAACAAAAATTGATGAAGAATTACACCAAGAATTACAGTTATTTCACGAGTTAAAGTTCCATTTCCTGAATTTAATGCTACTCTCTTCTAACATTTAAGAACGAAGTCAGAAAAAAGATGGGACTGTTAGAAAGCAACGACACTGCTGTAGTTTGTGAAACAGAATGAGTCATCCACAGTGGCTGGTATGGAAACAGCCCTCCCACATAATACTTTAAACATACACTGTCAAGTGTATGAAAAATCAATTTAGTGATCCCAATACTTGTTGGAAAACCAGAAACCAAATGGTGTTCCCACAGGGCACATTCAAATTGAGTGATCGTGTATTAAAATGTGGCTTGCTTTCTTCCCAACTTCTCTGTAATGTGTTTCAACTGTGTAAGATAAAAAAAACAGTACTCTGCTCTCCCCTCCACCCCCTGGCAATGAGTAATATATGTGGGTTCATTATTAGCAGGACTGCCAATCCCTATTTAATCCTCACAACTCACAACTATTTTAAGGTACTACAATAGGGAATATGGTTAACGTTGATGCAGAGATGTGTAACATGACTGAAATACTGGCTATTCTATCCACAGGAAGGAGGCAGGCACAGTTAGCCCCACAGCCTTGCTATAATCTGAGATGAATGGAAGGAAGAAAAAGGGAATTAGGAGGATAAGTCCAGGAGAAACTGTGAAAGAATCATAGGGATCTAAATTTTTTTTTTATAGATTTATTCATTTATTGACACAAGCACTGTGTACAGTCAGAAGCGTGGAGGGTGAGAGAACCTTCACCAGAGCCAGAGCAGGGAACAGAACAGGCAGATGTATTGAAATACTCTGCTGAGAGGAGCAGCAGGCGCGGCAGGAGAGGTCTGTCGCACCATGTGAGACCCTCGCCAGCAGCCGGGGATCGAAAGGGCGCTGCAGAAGCTGCTGGCAGCTTCGCAGCGCTCAACAGCTGCGCCACCAGGGGAGGCCCGGGACCTAAAAATTTTGATGTGTAAAGAGACAGCAAAAGTACTCTGTAAAAGATGATCCATGTAGATATGGTTTTGTCTTTAGAGATTGATTCTAATGTTAATGAAGGAAAAAAAATGAAAAACTAAAATAAATCTCTTATAACATTTTTGTGCTCCTTGATCTTTACCCAAAGGAGTCAAAAACTCACTCATGTCTATATAAAATCCTGCATGTGGATTACACTGTCTGTATTCACGACTGCCTAAACTTGGGAGCAAAAAAGGTGAACTTTGGTAGATGAATGGATAAAGAAAGGTACATACATACATCCAGACAATACATTGTCTTTTCAGTACTGAAAGAAATACACTGTCAAGCCATGAAAAGACCATGGAGAAACTTTAATGCACATTACAAAGTGCAAGGAGCCAGTCTGAAGTCTGCTTACTGCCTAATTCTATTTGACATTGTAGAAAATCAAAACTATGCAGCTAGATCAGAGGATGCTAAGGGTTGGGGGAAAGGGGACAGATGAAAAGACACAGAAGGTTTTTAGGGAAGTGAATATATCCAGTAGATATCTATAATGGTGGATGCACATCATTCAATATAAACCCATAGGAAGTAGACTAAAAAAGGAATGCTAAGGTAAACTGTGGCCTTTGAGTGATTATAATGTGTCCATATAGTTTGACTGATTATAACAAATGGACCACTCTGGTGTGAGATATTAAAAATGGGGGGGCTATGCACGTGTGGGGGGAGGGGAGTGATATATGGGAAATGTCTGTATCTTCCCCTCAATTTTGCTGTGAACTTAAAACTGCTCTAAAAAAACAGGATCTTAAAAAATTTATTTTGCCTTTTCCAAAGAGTCTGGGAAAGGATTCTTGGATTTCTCATCCCTGTTTTCCCGAGCCACGCACCTAGGACTTCCTTACTGCACTATTACAACATGTAAGTCTATCTGGAGTTTAACCTTAGAAAACCATCTGTTGTTCTGTAAGTACAGAACTCACTGGCTCAACCACTAAGTGGTTTGAGCCACAGGGAATAAGTGCATCTTGCTCCAGATTGTCCCAGCTGTGTTTTTTCTCCCAAGTGTGACTCAAGACACAAAAGTCTTAAATAGCACAGGCTCAAGATGTGTCTTGTCTTTGTACCTCCACAGGAAGCAGGTCAGCTGATGTGCACCTGCCAGATGCAACATATGCCCAGAGCAGCTGGAGCTATAGCTTTTCTTGGCCCTGAAGCTTTACTTACAATTTAGTGTTGCTGTTGTTGACTGCCAGTGTGGACAGCTAAATCCCAGAGACCAGTGCAAGACAGTCTCTGAGTAGAAGTGGATGTGTATATATACATTCTGACAATTCTTGCTTCCAAGAGATCTAGGTTAATTATCTGATGGCCGTCATTACATTTGGACCAGAAGGCCTGAGTCTGGAAGCCCCATCCTCTGGCTTTAGATATCAAATTACACTAAGGAAGAGGAAAGGAAAAGATGGAGACAAAATGAATAAGAAAAGACAAAGATGAGCCAAGTGTTATAGTAACAAACTAGAGCTTGTTCAGAAGCTCACCGATTTCAGGACTAAGTACACACTTCTCTTTCCAAACTTTATAGCCAAAGTCACGGATTATATTTCATTGCTTGGCATAGAATTCACAGTTTCACACTAAGACAATAAGCCCTTTCTTCCCAGGTAATGAGGAGCTTGTTCCTGAAATAAATGGCCACATGGGGTCATTGAAGGAGGTTTACAGGCCTCTGGGGACTCTGGCTTTTATTAAAAGCAGGTGAGTCACCCCTACTCTGTTCTCATTGCCCTTTGTCCATTTAAACTATTTAAGCACTGAGGTTTTCCAAAGTAAAACTGTTGAAACTAGTGGAAGTGGAGAAAATAAACTGGAGCTCACAGCACACAGTGGGTTATGAATGGCTATTTGGCTGATTTTTCTTGGTTCCTGTCCACTGGCTGCTACTGTGCCCCAAGCCCTGGGGAAGGAGGTGCAAGGCACCCTGACATGGGGCTCTTGACCATCCGCTTCTGACCCCAGGCCTCAGGCATGGTTTCCACAAACTTGGGCCCTTCGTGTAGGCCCCTAGATCTCTGAAAGGCACGTGGGAAGTAAAGCTTTCTGGGTGCCAGGTCTACCATCAGGCCTACTTACAGACATCACTCTTTTGATTTGAATAACCCTGATAACAACCTGTCACAATGATAGATTCCTTAGATTGCTTGCTCTGTGACTTGCAGATGCAAAATAAGAGTGGATGGGGCATCCCAGGCAGGGGATGGAGTCAGTTCAGTGCCTGCCTACCTTGCCTCAATGTCTGCTCTATTTGCTAGGGACCAAACTATTGCAGTAAGATCAGCAGGACAAAAAGGTCTATGGAGGAGCTTGAACAATAAACAAGTGAAGTGCAAAAATGTTTTCCATCCAGATTGCTTTTAGGATAGGGTCTGCCCAGTCAGCTGCAAACTGCCAACTGAACCAGGCCCCTGGGACAAATCAGAGTATGTATATGGTTTCAGCTATCACAAAAACAGTGCAGTTGAGTGGAGAAGCAGGGAAAAACAAAGCAAAGCAAAATGAGCGTGACCAACTTAAAAGAAATTAAAAAGGGAACTATGTTTACTTTGGGGAAAATGAACCCATACCATGAAATGTAAAATCACTATTCATAAGGGTTTTTCACTAGAACCAACTAACAAGGTTTTACTATATGACATAAGGATATATTTTTCCAATTATACTTTAATTTAGTTTAACAACAGCAGAATGAATTGTTTGTTCTAGAAAAGTTTTTTAATGTCAGTTGTGACTACAGATTTTTATTTCACCCTTTTGGGTATATGCACCGTGTATGTCTCGGTTTACACAGACCAAAAATTGAATCTTAAAGCTATACTTGTTCATACTAATTTTGTAACCAACCTAAACAAGAGTTGCCTCTGTCCCCAGAACAGATGCGGAATATAAGATTAAAGAATACAGTTCTAGGTGTTAACATTTCCTTCTGTTTTAGCATACATCTTACCTATTTCATTCTCATTAAGTAATGTTGGCTGTAATAGGGCACATGTGACCTTCAATGACAAACCACTATTTCTACAAAAGAAACCCAAACATTTGCCTGATTTTGAAGTTGAACAATAATAGTGCAAAGACTCACCTGGAGATAAAAAGGATGTAAACTGATAGAAGATTTCGGTATCCTTCTTCTGACCGCTGTAGCCCACGACACTGCCAACATCGAGCGGGAAGGACTTGAGGAGAGCACCGGTGGCCAAATCATGTAGTTGCAGCGTGTTCTTCACGTCATGGAGGTAGCATAACACTAGAAAGTTAGACCTGACGCAGGCTACCCATTCTGTAAAAAGTAAGGAGAGGAAAAAAACCCATGAAGATTTGAAAAGTAGTGAAAAACTAATTATTTCACTAATACTGATTAGTGAAGTTCTTCAAGTGAGGATTAAAAAAAAGAAACCTCTTACATCTAAAGTCATTTGCTCAATCTTCCCAAAATAATTTTTTAAAAAGTGCCTCAGTTAAGCAATACAGCTCATACGGCCTTAATGATTTCAAGAAAGTATGGGGAAAGACGAAAGTAAATTACTTCTGTCAAAGAATAATCAATCTATGTTAACGATGAGTACATCAGAATTATAAAACAGAAGTGAGTAAGAAAAGGACAAGGTGATTTGTAGACTGCTGTTAATAAAAGCTCTGACTTCGTAGCTGTACTTTATGATTCATCTGTAGTTATTATTCTCAATAGAGCATTCTGTGCTAATGATATATAGCGAATTCAACTCTGTGCTTCTTTTTGAATTGATGAGTTCCACCGAATAGTGAAGGTTTCCCTTCTGCGGTCTAAAGAACTTATAATCTTTCAGAAGGAAGGTTATAAAAATATATCACCTCTCAACTCTGAGCGTTGATTTGCATTTCATTAGCTCGACAAGTGAGATCAGATGGTAAAACACTTTGACTTTTAAAAGGCAGAAATGACTTTTAAATGCCTTGGGAAATATTTACATCTCTGATGGCTCCCTATGTGAGTCCTTGCATAACGTGCCTGGGACCTCGAAGACACCCAGGACACCCTACATGAAGATTTGGACCCAAGTCTCTTTTGGATCCAAGAAATATAAGCTCAATTCAGGGGCATGTAGGGAGGACTCACTAGCTATTACCACTCTCAGGGGGTGCGAGGGAGTGCGGGCTAGTCCTGCCTCAGTTTGGAGAGAAACCATCAGGCTACCAAGTCCCTGAGAATCAGATTCCTCGCACAGAGACATTAAAGGAAATGGCCAAAAACCTGTTCCATGACTTGTGGGTCTCTCACTCAAACACAAATGAGGATCAGGATGAATGGAAGATTTTGAGTGAACAGGTAAAGAGATTTCCTTGGAAAGAGCCTGTCATCCTGTAAAATCCACCAGCCTGAGCACAGGTGTCTACTCCAAACCCAAGAAGCTCAGGGGACAGTGAATGAACACCTACAAGTCAGGAGAAGGGCTGCCTAGGACTTCAGGGGAAGAGCCCAGGATGCACTGCTGTACCAAGGCTGCAGATGTGGGTTTTGCAGGAAAAAAAGAGACATGCGGTCTTGGGTCCCGTCCAAAACATTGCCTACAAGGGCAGAGAAGTTGGGTAAGCAGTGCAGGTGTCCAGGGGCTGAGGAGAATCTCAAGTAAATACTCAGAGTGGTACTTTCTCCAGGCTCGGGGGCGTGCAGAAACAAGGGTAGGCAGCAGTGCCACTAGGAACAGTCCCTGAGAGTGAGCTGGAATCAGCCGTCCCCGCCCACTCATCATGGGCAAGACCAGGTGAATGTGCCAGGGGAGAAAGAGGCCCTACATGTTCCGGATGTGAACTTGGGAGTTGTCTGCCCCTGGCACCTGTACTTTAATTCACTTAAACATACACATAAGGACTGCTTCAGCTGAGACAGGGCCACTTTGCAAGTCTTGAAAGGAATTATTTTCCTAATTATATATCTTATGTGTTTTATGCCCTTTCAGCCCATCAGCAGAAGTTCACGTCCAACAAGGAAACTTTTTGTTGAAGGTACTAAAATCTTCTTTCATGTAAGAACTGCAGCAACATCAGTGAGTCTTAGTCTAATTAAATCCAGCTTTCAGACAATAAATGATTTGTAAAATAGAATGCCATTTTTGGAAACGCTCAGAGAAAATGAAGAAAAGGGAGTATAAAGGTTCTCTGAAGCACAACAGAGATGGAAGGAAGTGAGGTTCTTAAGAGGTCAATGTAGCTCACTGCACACAGGAGCAATGGCAGTGGATTTCAATTAACTCTGACAATAGTCTATTCTCTTTGCTAATAAGGACTGCGAATTCATTCTAAAATCTACAACAAGTATAATGCAAACAGTCAAAGGTTATTCAAAAGCTAAAAGCTAAGAATCCTGCACCTAAATGGTTTAAAAAGTAAATCTAATAATTTTTATGACAAAAACAACTGATTAAAAAAAGAAAATTCAGTAAATACCTCTGAAAGTCTAGGTACACCTTCATGATTTTTTATGAGGACATTGATCTCCTCCTAAGTCATGAAGAGGCCATGACGGCACAACAGTCAGTTGGGCTGTTCCATCACTTCATTCTCCATGACTAGGGGCTGGATTCCCAGTGAGTGACAGATGTATCAACAGGTGCCTTTCTCACCAGACACAGAAGCTTGGCTTTCAAGCCCACGCAGTCTTACCTAAAACATCCTTCTCATGCTCGGGAACAAGCACTTTCCACTTGCTCTCTGCAGGCTCTGTGAAGTCGATGTTGATCAGGCGGTAGTTGGGCGAGTGGCGATTTGTCTTGAACGTGAACACTGTCCCCTCGTTGGTCACGTAGTCGTACTCTCCCTCAAAGTTGTCTATCAGTTTTACCCACTTCAGGATACCTGGTGAGAGAGCAAGCACCCCGTCACCTCTCGGTGTTTAAGGTGGTGTGGTGTGTGTGTGTAGGGAGGGGAGTCGGCCTTTTCTGTCTATACAACACAAAACAACATGGTATTTGCAAGGTCTAAGGCAAGAAAGCAAGCAAGGACAAGTGTGGGTGAATTTTAAGGTTTTTAAGACATGGGAAGGAACTGTTTTTCTGGAAATACCTGGAAAAACAGGAGCATGAAGGGACCTTTCCTCTCAACCCCACACTACCTTGCAAGTCCTCTTCTACCTGAGCGGTTGACCACCTCTCTCTACACCCTGATGGTCATCACATTCCAAGTCTCCCGCATGCCTTCCTGGTCTGTGGGAATGACCTTCACTTGAAAAAACTTTACTCCTGGCCACAACTTGGAAATGAGTACCTGCAGACATTTGGAAGGTGAGAAGAGGCTGCATTACAACAAAGACTGAGGCAGCCTGAAATGTCGGCGTTCTGTGGCCCAGAAGTGAGGTCTATAGCCTTGGCTTCCTGTCTGGTCACCCCACAGTACAGTGGCCATCACAAAGTCTTTATGTTCTAAATTGGTCCATGCTGGCAGCTTTCTTAGAAACACCCCCATTACACTTTAATAAAATCCAAATTCCTTTTCATGGCTGCGAGGGTCCTACATGTCACAGTTCTTTCTCAGTTATCCAGCCTCAGCTTGCCCCAACATTCACTCGTCCCGCCCTCCAGCGACACCAGCTGGTGGCAGGTTCCTACAGACACACTTCAGGGCCCTGTCACAGGCTGTCTCCTCTGCCTGGCCCATTCTCAATCTAACTGGCTCACCACATCTAGTCAGCACCCAGCTTCACAGTCCGCCTTTCATTTATTATTCACCTTTTTAAATGCATTCCTTAATACTCAGCACCTAAACAGCATAGCAGGTACTTCACAGGTACAAAATAAAACTGTTATTCAATGCAAGGAAGACGTTTTCCAGTCCGTTACCCCTAAGAACTAGTGTGAAATGGTCATCACTAAAAAAATCCTCACAGTCTCCCATCATCCTTGAAATGACTCACTGAACACCACTTTTAATATATATATAAGAAAGCAAAAACCAACAGAAGACACGTGCTTCACAATGTATCAGATATAGATGTTCAGAGAACATTCTCAAAGCTTTATAAACAAACAAGTTCTAAACCACTGAAAGGCAATAAGTGGGCCTCCCCTGGTGGCGTAGCGGTTGAGCGCTGGGTTGCGAGGCTGCCCACAGCCTCTGCAGCGCCAGATTGATCCCCGGCCACCGGCGAGGGTCCCACAAAAATAAATAAAAAAATTAAAAAATAAAGGAAACAAACTTTAGAATAAAAAAAAAAGAAAGGCAATCAGTGCCAGATTTAAGCCACTTTCCAATGATCGCTCACTTAATTTCACAGTGAAATTGCTGCATTCATTTGGATAGTTCATTTGTATTCCTCGAATCTTGTCAGGCAATTTCACATTCATTATCTCATTCATCTCTATAGCATAATTTGTTCCTGAATTATTACATAATTTGCTGTTGAATTAAATTTATCAGCAAAAATATAATCCCCTGGGAGAAAGTGTTTTTCTGGTCAAACATAACTAGATTAAAACTCCAGCTCCACCACTCTCTAGTTGTGTGACCTTGAATAATCTCCTGATCCCCTGCTTAGCCTCATTTTCTCAATTGTAAACTAGGAATAGGTAAATGTGAAAATTATTTTAAAGTGACTACTAATATACTACAAAAACTTTTAAAATAAAAAACTGGAATAAAAATTGTTATTAAGTTAAAAAAATGGGGTAGAGGGAACCACGTTTATAACAGGAGCTAAATAAATATTTATGAAAGCACCTAACACAAAATGTGGAATCTATATGAAAAAGAAACTAAAACTACCACCACCATCCCAACTCAAATAACAGGAGATACGTACCAAATCCCTAGATGGGAAGACTTAGTATTTCAAAGGTGCAAATAACTCCAGAGCTAATATACAAATTTAACACAATTCTAATAGAAATCCAAATGAGATAACTTTGATGAATTTGATGTCTTTTTAAAGCTCATCTGGGAGAATTAGGACCTAAAAACATCAATACATTTTTGATAACAGAATAAGAATAAGCCCCTGTTACTGTAACACTCTGAATATGATCCTCTCCCTCCTGAAGGTAGCAGGTTGTGAGAAAAGTCATGACGTTTTTAAAAAAAGATTAAGCTCTGCATCCGAGTTACATTTTTTTTTACAGTGATTTACAGCTAACCTCAAAAAGAGATAATCCATTCAATGGTAACTGCATCTTAGTTTACAAAAAAGTAACTCTTCAAAAGAAAAAAACACAACTTTTCTTTGAAGAATAAGAATGTAAGTCAAAAATTAGTTGGCAATGCAAAATTTGCAGAAATCAGAAAGGCACATTAGTTTATAATAAGGATGAAACATAATTTTCTGGAATATGATATTTGTAGATACAGAAGCCTGGTTCAGCAAAATGTCAGGATCCTTAAATGTTCTCCTGACAATAAAACATTTCCTGATGTGAAACCTTTATTTCTCAGAATAACCATCTTTTGGTTTCTGCTTGAAAAGGTCTTGCAGTCATTGCAGTGGTATTTATTATAATCATTCACCATGCAAAAAAGTCACTGAAGTAGCTACCAGAGGCAAAACACAGTACAACTTTTCTCAGCACTTCTGTGTGTATATACATGTAAACAACTGACGCATGAAAATAAATAAGCAGGCTTCAGTGAACACCAAAACAACAAGGTTTAGGTCATTATCTGTTACCAAATTCTGCAAGCATTAAACTTAGTCACAAATACCTGCTACAAATCAAATTCATTCTAATTTAAAAATGTAGCCAGATTTCTACAAATTCGGCTGCAAATTTTGCCAAACAACTGAAAGTATATACTCTCACAGTGCAGTACTTTTAAATAGCTCATGTCAACCTTTTGTTTTCTGAAACCTTTGCTCCTCAAAGGCTTTGCCACAAAATAAATCAGGAAAAATGGTATTTCCATTGAAGAACGGGGCTCATTTAGTTTTGCTATTCAGGAGATACAACATTATTGATTTACATGGAAAACAGAAAAAGTACTTTGCAGAGAGACCTGGCTCAACTCACTAACCACCTTCCCTTGGCCCTCATTTTCTGGGGTCCTTTAGTCTGGCAGGGACATAACTCCGTCTCAAGCCAAAGGAGTTCAATTTTCAAGCATCTCCATATTGATGCTAACATTACATAAACTTGCTTCTTGGTGGGGGAACGACTTGCTTACTGAGTGAAGATTAGCTCAAAATAAGTTATCTTATATGCATTCCCAAGAACAAAGTCAGCACTCTTACTGCTTTTTTGGAAAATCAATGGTATTAACGATTTCACTGAAATGTTTAAGTTCTCTACAAATAGGAGCTAAAAAGTGCTTTCATGCTTTACAAAATACTGAGAGCCTGGCATGCCCCATGATAATACACGCAAAGCAGGGTCATGCTCTGAGGCGCAGGGTGTTCTCTCTGCCAGACACCTTTCTTCTGCCTCAGCCACACACTGATGGTTAGAATGGGGGCTTGGGATTCAACTGACCTGGGTCTGAATCTTTACATGGCTTTAGGAAAGCTAACTGGTCTCACCGGCCTCAGTCTCCTGGGGATAACAACATGTGTTCTTGAGACATTGCTGAGAAGACTGAATGAAATACTGATCTCCCTTGATTTATGTGCCGATAAACCCATTCTGAGTTGAAAATTGTGCTAAGTCGAAAGTGAATTTCACACACCTAACCTACTGAGTATCATAGCTTAGCCTAGCCTACCTTAAACAAGCCCAGAACATTTCCATTAGCCTATGGTTGGGCAAAGTCATCTACCATAAAGCCTATTTATGTGCCAAATAGTTCATGTAATTTATTGACCTCTGTACGAAAAGTGAGGAACAGCCTCTAGGAAATTGGTAGTTTACCCTGGTGGTCATGGTGCTGACTGGAACTGTTTTGCAGCCGCTATGCAGCATTGAGAGGGGATGCCACACTGATCATTACTTGCCAGAGAAAAGATCAAAATTTCAAATATGCTTTGTATTGAATGCTTCTGTACCATCACAAAGCTGCAAACAGTAAGCTGTGAACCATCCATATCTACACTCAGAGTATATGAGTATAGAAAAGGGTATGTAAGAAATACTAAATAAACAATACATACTATAATTCCAAATAACCCCAGCATTCTTCAATGCCAAAAATATATTAAATATGGATTCTGAGCAGCACAATTTGCTAAGAGTCAACTTTTAAAATCTAATTCCCACCTTTCCCAGCAGTACTTTTCCAGAAAAAGTCCTTATATACACTATTTTTAAAATTAATAAAATCACCAATTTTATCATTAGTATTTCTTATTTTGCCTAAACATCCAGGTTTTGTTTTTTATTCTTACACTGTCTTTAGGGGCTCCAATTGTTTTGAGAGTTTTGTATCCCCATTCTTCAACACATGCTTTTAATTACTCCCTGCCTCTCACAGAAGCACTCCTTCCTTGTGGATCGGCTTCTGACTTTTGGATGACTTTGCTAAACTTTGGACAATTCACTAAAGCTTCCTGAATATTTATCTCCCCTTCCACTCTACCTTCAATGATGCCCAGTCCAGTAGGGAGTCAAACTGTCTCAGCCACCTAGAAACTAGAGGTCACCCGCCATACATTAATCAGGGATGGCAGGATGAACAACGTATGTGTCTGATGAATAGTAAGTTTCCTTTTATCATTAATGTTAGCATGTACTGTAGATTAATTTCTCATGTAGGATAAAGTCACTTTTCTTTAATGACACGAAAGCATTAAAATGAAGACATGCTGAGCCTTAAAAATGTCATCAATCTAAAATGATCAAATTTTCACCAAGAAAGGAAAAGCAGAGACAGGTTAGTGGAAATCTAGGTGAGATACAGAATAGGCTGATAATTTTCTTACCAAAATCAATGATGTCAGCATC